CAGATAAGGGACATACAAAAGACAGGAAAACAATATGCCCTTACAATTGAAGTCAGGGCATAGAAATAAGAATACACAAATTTAAGACTGCCAAAAATAAAAGTAACACAAAGCCTTTGTTTGAAAGAGTTATCATGCATCATGTATTTAATGGAAAGCTTTCATATAAATTCTATGCATTTGGTTAAATATAGAAAACTCAATATTCCTGCAAACATGGTTAAGGCCAACCAATATATATATATATGATATATACTTGATTTGTTGAGGAAAAAAATTGGTAGGTTGATAAAATAATTTCATTTTGCAAAATATTTTACATCGTTGTAAAATTATACTAATAGGCATGTGTTCTGAATGTTTAATCAATGCTTAACCAAAAATGTCAGGACTTAAAGGGGGCTAAACCCATTTATAATGGGGTTGTTGATGTGGGATAATAACTATACTTTATTTGCTAACCTTATGGATGGAAAGTAGTGAAACTCTGATGGCAGACTAACGCACATTTCTTATCTATACTGGATACATCAGAACTGCAGAACTGCACAAGCAAGTATCATTTGGCAAAATTAACATGGTCTTTATCTAAGAATTTAATAGTCGTTTGTTTATGTTGTAAGGGGCAATATTCAATTAATCTGCTTTTTGCAATGGGCAGTCCTAAAAAATAAACACTGCTTCAAGTTCTCAAACTATACAGCGGCTGAAAATTCCTTAAGCATGGGGTACCAGATTCGTCGATAATGGATTTATGGATACCATGTTTATTTAAGTAACAAAGTCTATGAGACTTGCTTGTCATAAAACACATAATGTATCTAACAGGTTTTACTTTTTGAAACAAACCCACATAAATTGACCTTCCATCAAAGATTTATATGACCCGAAGTGCCTGTCATGGTGTAATACACATTTTTTATTGAACATATAATGACAGTTTCAGTTGCGATTCATTCAAGTGTGTCGTGGGTTCTGGGCAAACTTGCCAGATTGATTAAACAGAAGACAGAAGAATCAACACGTGCGACAATAAAACGGAAAACGACAGAGACACTCAAGGGGGTTAGCAGATTTCAAGCAAGCCTGGCTGACTAAGCTTCCCTGGTTAATTATAATACGTTTTGTATCTAATTCTGCAAAATATTCAAACTTTTCCTCACATGCACAACACACGGGCGAGGGAACAACAAATAAAAAGCATGAAAATATCAGAACTGACTTCCTCTGTACAAACCCACTCTTTCACAGTACACCAAAATATACTGTTATCACGATATTTAATTTGGACGTGAAGACAATAAATGTTAATACTTTAAATAAGTCTTCATCAATTTCATTCAATTAAAAGAATCAAAGTGCTTGTGAGAAAAGTATGATGAAATGCAAAATAGATATGAGTAAGAAAATGTGGGGAAAATCAGCAGTCATGAGACAATAACCTAAAAATCACAATGAAACAAAATAAAATCATATTCTGATGCATGCATGCAATACCAATATGATAGAGAACGGAAACAGGGAATGTGTCAAAGATACAACAACCCGGCCGAAGAGCAGAAAACAGCCCAAGGCTACCAATGGGTCTTCAAAGCAGCGATAAAATTCCGGACGGGCTTCATCTGGCTCCTAAACAATAGTGTACACTAGTTCTGCAAAATTGACGTCACACTAAGCTCCGAAACATGCAAATGTACCAAAATAAAAAAAAAAAACAACACAAGACTCAATAAGTCTAGAGGTTCCTGATTTGGGACAGGCGCCAACATACGGCGGGGTTAAACATGTTTTGTGAGATTTCAACCCTCCCCTTAGCCTCTGGCCAATATGGAATAAACAAACACACAGTATCACACATAGTAAAACTCAATTTAAAAGAAGTCCGAGTCCGATGTTAGAATAGGTAACAGAAGAAACTAAGCAAAATGACAATGATAAACATAAATTAACAAAGGACTAATAGCAGTTACTGACATAACAGCTCCAGACTTCAATCAAAGTGCTGATTAGCACTGGAGGGTAAAGACTGCTTTCATTTTGAAATGTGAACTTAAAATTAAACATTGTATTGCAATTAGCCAAAAAATTAATTTTAAATTTGAGTTATATTCCTTTGTTTATAATTGCACATTTGTAGTCGAACCTGTTTTACAACAGAATCATACACCATGGCCACCTAGCAAAAAACAATTTCAACCTCTACTGAACCTTTAATAGGTTTGCTCTACAATAAATATCAAGACACATAGATATGTCTCGCCTGAGTGTAATTTCAAAAAAAGCTATCATCCAAAATAAGCTGGTTTACAGTACATGGAGGAAGTAAAGTATCAGATCTTTTCTAACATTCTTAAGTTAAATTTCTAGGCACTATAAAATACTGCATATGTGTGGCATTTACTAATCATAGAAAATCTAATGGACGAGATATTATGTTCAGTTGTCACTACACATAGGCAGACAATATCTCTATATAAATTCATAGTGACTCACTGTATGTTAAACATGGCATCCTGCAGTTGTACTAATAAAATGAGTAGATGATCATTCCCGTACACACAAAATACTTCGTGTATTGTGATTAGCCGTCCTTGTTCAATACCTACGAGAAGGTAAATCCCCGAAACGAAAGCTGATGTTTATCAGCTAAAGTAAGGGGATAAAGAGGCTGCGCAATGCTATAGGGGTAAATTCAGTAATTGAATATACGTCATCACGGACCGCTCATTTGGGGGAGAGCTTTCTGGATTACACTGAAGTCCTGTGCTCCACCGATTAGAAGATTATGTTTGTAGAAAATATTTTTGATGGATCAAAACTTGGGTTTAAGAAATAATGAATGCACTTCATTTTTTTTTTACTACAGGGTATAACGTAATGGGGGTCAGTGTAGGAATTTAGTGAGAATCTACAGTGTTTGTAAACAAGGCCATGAGAATGGCCTAAAAATGCCAAATGATCCTTTGTTTTGATTGTTGCAGAAGATGGGGCTACATTTGTACTTTAATGAATGATATATGAAAGCTTATGATTTCTAAAAGTAAACCAGGTATCAATTTAATTCCAGTAAAAGTTTTGCATTGAAGTCAATGAGAGATTGTTTTTACTTAATTTACCCCTAGATGGTGTTGCAATAGAGAAAACAATACCGGATCAAGCACCGGTTGGGGAGGAAATAAATCGCCTCTTATATTGTTAGGTTGATTTTCTAGGCACTTTATATATGTATGTATATATTTTTATTTTTTTATTAAATTACCAAACCATTATAAATATGTCATTAATAATGTAGTATGTTTTATTCTTAATACGATTATCTTTTCAATGATTCAAGTAACTAATTTTGTGTGTAAAGTATGTCCTTGAGGCGTTAAGATTGTTGACAAACATAATTACGACAGTTTATTTGTCAAATGTAATGAGATTTATTATATGTAGTCTTAAGAATTAGTTTTCATTTCTTCATAAATTAGTGAAACACCAGGATCTTATGATCACGACATTTAAATTATGATATATTTCATTGAATTCATTTTAAAGTATGATGAAATGCAAACGAGTAGCAAAATGTAGGGAAAACCAACATTCATGAGACATTAACCCAAAATCACAATAATACAAAATAAAAACTTAAGTTAAATCATAATCCACATACATGCATGCATGCAATACCAATTTGGTATTGTTGCTTGCTTAATGCAAAGTGGCAAATATTTCAAACATATTCAGCTAGAACAAATTAACAATTAATACAATAGGTAGGTCTACAGGAATGAAGGACAGGAAATTTGAACTGTCCCTGGAAAAATGAGGGTATTTTGGATACATTTTAGATTGAACAGGCCACCTAGTTATTTTAAAGGTTGAAGGCACAACATACCTATGGCCCCATGAAAGTTGTTCCGAAAAAATGGGACAAAACCCTAATTTGGCAGATATATTTTCAAACGTTCATTTCATAATATGAAGATATATGAAGAAATATGTGAAAAGTTTCTAAATAATTTGATCGCAACATCATTGTAAATAGCCTACCATACACCAAAACTTTAATCTGATACATGATGAACAAAACGAAAAGACAGACAAACTATTTGTCAAATGAAATAACAGATGGAAGGACATCCAGACAAGAAAACAATAATGAACATGTGTACTATTTTTAAACTTGATGTGACCACATGTTCATGCAAAAGTAACTTTTATTTTACAAAATCTTTTACATACATTCGTTAACTGAATAGACATGTGTTCTGGAACAAAACCAAATATGTTCATAAAGTGAGTATGGGGAGGCAGGAATAAAACAATAAATTATTTTTGTGGCCTTTTGAATGGAAAGTAGTGAAACTGAAGACTAAACTCAGCATAATAATGATTATACTAACATAACATTTATGAGTGTACCTTCCGAACAAATAAACCATAACCTAATTATTAGTTACATGGTGTGTTAGTGACCTAATACGATATATATGGGGTCAGTAAATTCCATATGGGGTGAGAGCGAAGCTCGAATCCCCATATGGAATTTACTGACCCCCATATATATCGTATTAGGTCACTAGCACACCGTGTAACGAATTTATCTTACCGACTGTCTTCACATGTGGTTTTTCGACTATCGGCCTTTCAAAGTGATTAAGTCTTCAATACTTAGTTTTAACATGTTTAAGAACCTACATCCATTTGTCTATACAAAAACAATAATAACAACGTTTTAGCTTTAAATTTGTTTTATGAATGTATTTCAATCGTTCATTATCAGTTTCTTTGTATGTTTAAACCTTTCAGATACCTTTTTTGTTTTGAAAGGGAAGTAACTCCTTACTAACCCCATATGGTTGATAACCCTATATGGTAACTAATCATGTATTTTTAGGGCACCCTATACTAAATATATATAGTCACCACGTGTAGTCCGTTAACCAATCATATCCGCATAAATCTATAGGAGGTAAGATAAATATATATATTAAACATGCATATATCTCACTTACCATTTCAAGAGAGTTCTCAATTGACAACAACTGTGCCCGCATAGAATTACATGCATGTTTAGCTTCAGACCAATTTCTTTGGTTGTTATCAGCAAAAAGGTAGCACTTCTTGCCCATAGGACCATCAACCCATCCAGGTGGGCAAACTTGTCCATTGGCTAAAAAAGGAAAATATCTGTTTTAAATTAATTTATCTTTCCATCCATAGTGTACAAAACTGTTAATATGTCCTTAGTTTACCCTGATGTCATAGCAGTCCTTTAAAAAGTCTACTGTATGTTACCAGAATCAAATACAGGACCGTAAGATTTTAAAAAAAACCCAGTAAAATAGAAGTCAGCCCAGATAACAGTATAACTGAGCCAGATTTGAAAGGTGCTAATTCACAAGGTTAAGACCGCAGGAAGACCTGTCACACTACCTGGAACTTTTTTTTCGGATTCCAAGCCCACAAGTCTTTGCTTTTACTTTTTAATGCCTCTTGCACAGCCGAGAAAGTAGCAACTACAATGTTAAAGTTTTTGGTTTGACCTCAAACACTTGAGTTGACACTACCTCAACACCCCAAAGGCGGTATCTTATCATTTAGAAGTAAAAAATATCATTTGGAAGTACATACTTAACTTTGAAGACATAATTAATAAGTACTGGTACTGCTGTATATGATTCAACTATTTCTTCTACTTTTGGAAGAAAATAATCCCTTCCCTTCTTAAACAAAATAATGATATACGTTGATATTTTATACACAGAAATGTCTAACTATGTTACTTTATTATGCCTGAAAAGGTTCGGGGTAAAAAAGCAGAGATTGAAAATTTATTTGAAAATTGTCAAACCCGTTTAGAAGGAATATTATTTTACGTGTCTCAATTTTATATAATAGGGAATTGACTTTTCAAGGAAACCTCACCTGATGAATAATGGAGATTTTTGTAAGCAAAGATCAATAGCCTACCGGCATGTCTGCCTTCTTCTTTTTCACTAATACACTATTAGATTATTAATTGAACAATATTTTAATTAAACAACGTTACCTGGAAATTAAGTAATGAGCTCTATGGTTTACACATATAATGACATCATAAATTAAATGCCTAATACATGACTGATAGCATAGGGGACAATGTCCTTGTTTAAGCTTACTTTACTTTAGAAATAAAGCGAGAAATTCGTAATTATTTTTATGGTAAACTGGGATATTTGTTTGTTCAATCGTGAAGACAAATATATATAGTATTTCCATTTTATATGCTATATAAATGATTATTTCTATGACTTTTGTAATATAATACCAAAAGGAAAACAAAATGATGTTCTTATTCTTAAGATTCAAAATTAGTTGCTGTATAACAAAGCTACTGTTGTTCTCTCTCGCACTTGTAACAACTGCCTAATATTAGCGTTAAATTAAGCTATACCACGGGTGACATTTTGTAAACAAGAAAGGGGACAATCCCTTGTTTTTGGCTTACTTTTCATCATATCTTGACTTAAATGTAGAGATTGACAATGAGGTCTGATTGTGAACAAAACTTTACGACAAAAGAGATGATTTCAGCTTTCCAATTCTGAACTTTCCATTTCTATGTATCAACATTTCAGTAGCGCATGCATATGGAGTATATATAGATACGATATTCCAGGGCATGCGTTTCTTATCATGATTTCATTGAGAGAGGGTTGCAGCTCACAAAAAATCTATTAAATCAAAAGTTCCAAGCGGTGAAGTTATAATCCCCCTTTTGAAATTTTACGGACGTCATCACTAGCTGGTTGACAGTTATGGAATATCTCTTTCACAGATGACGACGGATTTGTTCCAATCGTCGTTTCCACAATCTCGTTCTCCTTTCCCCAAACGGCTCCTACAAAATTAGACTTATTACCGGGATTGTACTTACATGAACAACATGACGGACTCCACGTGTGGAGTATGATTTTCTTACCCTTCCGGAGCACCTGCGATCAGCCCCGGTATTTGATTGGGTTTGTAATGCTCAGTCTTTAGTTTTTTATGTTGTATTTTGTAAACAATTGTTTGTCTTTTCTATTTTTGCTATAGCGTTATCAGTTTACTTTCTACTTAAAAGTTTGAATGTCCCTTTGGTATCTTTCGCCTCTCTAAATCTTTTCTACAGAAATAAAGCGAGATATTGTAATGTTTTTTGGCAACATGGGATATTTTATTGTTCAGGCTTCAATCGTGAAGACAATCGCATATGGCATTTCCACTTTTTATGTAATATAACTGATTTTTGAAATGTTTATACCTAAAATGAAAAAAAAAATATTTTCTTAGTTATAGAGTTCAAAATTTTATTTATTTGATTTCAAAATATAAAACTGCTGTATAAAAAAGCTACTTAAAACAGATGTTGTTCTTTCTCACTGGTAGCACCTACTTTATATCAAAACCCAATAAAGCTATATAAAGGTTGAAATCAACCACCAACATGATTAATAACCCCTTTGGGATATAATGTACAATGTATATATCAAATGGGACATAATTTTCCTGTGTTTGATTGTTTATCAGATTGATCTCTAGAAAGATATGGTTTTTACTGGGAATAAATCTAGAAAATTATTAAGTATCTGGAAAAGTCAATAACCAAAATTTGCTAGTTTTCATTTGATCACTTTTGTATATTTGGACGGAATCTATAATTACAATTTTTTGCAGTGTGACTTTATATCCCATTTGGGATTTATTACTCATTAGGTAGATATGCGACCTACCGCTAGGGGAAATAAAAGGGGGTAAAACCTTTCTCCGATTCCTGATCGTAATATGGTTTGCATTAGGTTGCATAACGGGTCATCGTAGAGCGTCGAAGCGTCGTTTAGGAAGACAATATGTGCAAGAAAAACACAAAAACTGTTAAAAAAATCACTTCGATATAAGAATATTTTCGGTGCAAAATGTTGTTGAAAATAATGTAGATAACATTGAAAAGAATAGTAGTAGTGTCTAGTTAGTTAACATAGGTGTTTTGCAAATATTGCTTAAACATAAACTTAAGCTTTATAAACCATTCAATTGTATGTTGAAAAATATAAATTAAAAAAAAATGTATAAGTTTTTTTCGCACATAAAAACAGTCCCGATTGATAATGAACGTTCAATGTTTTGTTGTTACTGGTTTTGTTTATGACGACATCGTTATAATGAAATAAATCACAGAGAACAGAGAATCTTAAACAAATAGACCAAAAAGTATCCATCAAACGCCAAAAAAAATATTTTGTTGTATTCACACGACAATGTGGGAAAATATAGGTCACTTCCCATTTTTGAACTGCATTTGACATTTGACGGGAGACATCATTGAACTGTTCTGATCATTGAAATGTGAGGCAACAATTAGAAAAAGACGATTCCAGCGCCAACTTAATTACTTTTTTTCTAAAATAAGCATAGTAACGAATACTTTTTTTTATGTATATGAAGTTGTATCACATCATATTGCATGCGACATAGCCTTTCTATCTATAGCTTGAATAGATTTTCCGTAAATTATAAGAAAGAAAACAACCCGAAGGAATTGAACGGAAGGATCGTCTGCGAATTGAAGTCGTTTGATTTCCTTTATCTGTCGTATGACAGTATAATTTATCGTTCTGGATAAAATCATCGGTGTTTGGCATGCATCGATGAGAATTCTAGAGGTCAGCATGCTTACTGCTATGTCATTTGCTCTAAATCGGCTCAAGTCTAAATAGATGTTTGTTTGAATTCCCCTTCAAATTTTCACACAAGGCCAATTTTCAAAATGTATTTAATCTTTACTCAAATTCGAAATATCAAAGTTCCATGTGAACACTTCCGGATTCAAACAATGCGGCTAATTTCTTAACAATCACTTAACTATAACATGATAAACATGTACACAGACCTAAAGAAAGTATTTCAAAATGAACAATGAAAGATAACTCATATAAATATAAAAAAAAATATCAGCAAAATCAAGGTAAGTTTGTCTGTACTCAATGTAATTTTGTGGTGTTAGCATGAACATGATTGTATATCCGTAAAGGTAAATGTGCACCTGAATGACAGCTGGTAGGCGATCTTTTAATTGCAAGGTGGCGCTTAGAAAAGAGTGATCTGTTTTGCATTATAGACTCGATTCCAATGCTTCAGCATGCATTACATCATTAAAAAATACTTATGAAGCAGAAAACAAATATTTAATTGGAAGGATTATATCAATTGCTAAAGTTAAAGACTAAATGTTTTCCTCAGTAATAACTGGGACTATTACATTAAATTGATTTATTAGTCCTAGGTAATATTGAAAGAATTTTTTCTGCCAGATTATTTTTCCGCTTTGGAAATCTACCCTGCATATCTTCGTCACAATTTGCTCATACCACATATCAACACTTCATGGGCTTTTGTAATATTTTAGTCATTATTAACCTAACCGAAAATGTGTTATATGACATAACGTCGTAAATCAGTGGAGATGTTGTATGAATTATAGATATATGTTCAGTTTGAGTAATCTCCCTTGTTCTATAAGCATTTTCTGATTCTTTTTTCTGATGTATTTCTAAAAATTCATTAAATATGACATATAAAGGAAATGAAGAGAGATGCATCTGTTTATACAAGCACTAATGATTCTTTTTCTGATGTTTCATTGACTGTTTCTGCTTCGGAATTTAGTTGGGATGCCTACTGAGATGGGGATTGCTTAAATAATCACGAAATAAAACATAGATACTGCAGTAAAACACATTACTGTCCGCTATTTCTGATGAACTTTAACCATGAAATAACAAAATTGATAAGGTTTTACTATCTTAGCACAGACACTTGTTTTTATACATTAGGATGTAACTATCCATACATAATACTAGTAGAATATTTTATTATATACGAATAGTCGACCTCCAAATGGATAGAAACAAATGTCTCCGTGTATCCAAGCTTTCCTTCTAGAGATAGGAAAATGGCGAGGATATTATAACACCCTCTACAATCTAGGATATCTGTCTGTTATTACGAGTGTAAATATTCCGCATTTGATTCTGTTTATCCTTACCATTAATCAGTGATATCTTATTACTATGGTTTTAAGGGTAGTTTATAATAATAAGAGGCCTTCGACAATAACATGAATAAAATGTACATTGTATTGGAT